CCTACGAATACATACATTAAATTCTACCAGTTCACCATTTTTTCCGACACAAATTATTCAAGAAATCAAGTGTGTGTGTGTGTGTGTGTGTGTGTGTGTGTGTGTGGAGGAGATAAGGACCTGTGCGAGATGGATTGAGAGCGGAAACTTCAATGTCAGAGTGTGTAATGGTGAACAGTGGACTTTGCGAGTAGCAAGCACCACCACGTCGTATAAGGGCACGTTTGTTAGGGAAGACGATTAGTTCATTATTTAGGTCTCTTCTATACAATATCCGTGTACGGGTAATTAATAAGAAAATTATTTTTAAAATTAACTAATAACAATAATAATAATTGTTTAAAATTAATATATGTATTTATTAGGCTGATTTGAGACTTTCATGTAAATTAATATTATTTTACAAATCATGTAAATTAATAACAATATCCTGTAGATACTATTTAGAATAATATTATTTTTTATCCAAACATAACTATAAATCATGTTTTTTCGCCAAACAGGATTGCGAAGCGTGCGAGGCTGCCAATTAGACTCAACGAATTCTGCAATTATATATTGCAATTATATATAGAGAGGATGTATATTCAGTTGGAATTTTAAAATAATTTATAGAAGTCTTTAAAAAATCTTGATATATTTTTAACTTATTTGAGACTATGATTTGTTGAGATTTGTTAAAATTTTGGGGGATTTGTTCAAATCTCACATCTATTAAGATTTTATAAAATTCCTCCAAATCTTAAAAATCTTATAATGTCACTTGAAATTTCAATTGAATACACAAATAATTAGTAAGAATTCCGTGTAATGCACAGTTAAAGATAATTATTAATATTTACAAATTAAAATGATCATTAAATAAAATATATAAATTAAAAATATATAGAATACATGTGTAATAAAATTTACCTATATTGATTTATTAAAAATATTATATGAAACTAAAATTGTGCAAAATTACATAAAATATCTCTACTTAAAATTAGTACACAACTTGTACGGTGCACGTAGCTGATATTACATTATATTTATTTCAAAATAAGTATAATTCTAAAAATTATATTCATAAATTCCAATCGACTATAATGTGATTCTATGAAATAACTTTTAGTAAAATTTTATCATATGTTTAAAAATCCATGTGAATAATAAGTATGATTATAAAACTTATATTGTTCTATTAATTGAAGTGAATTTATTTTAGTATAAACTATCTTAAAATAAAAAAAAAAAATTAAGTAGTTGCGTAATTTATTAAACTGTAAGTATATGATTATTTCATTTGCATCCAAATCAATGTTAACATATGAGATATGAAT